GTTACTGGACGTTTCCCTCATCCTATACGAAAACAACAATTAGCAACATCCTCACATACTACTGTAAGTTGATTCAATTTAAATTCATTTTACACTTTTGTTGCTACTGTTATCATTGTAATTGCAGCTCCTGATGATGATGGCAAAGTCCATTGAAAGCTAGAGAGAATTAAAAAAAGTATAAAGAGTCCTCTTTGCTTAAATTTTGTCGCAGTACCCAACAAAAGGCGGAAGCTTTAATTTTTCACCTATATATATATATATATATATATACCTTGCATCGAGACATTCAAAGTTTAAAGGCACACATTTCAAATGAAAGGCTTGGTCTATAAAACTTATCTCTTCAGCTATAAATAATTTACAAAGGATAGTAACCTTATCATTAGTAATTCTGTGAGTCTTAAATACTGCCTTATTTTGTCCACCGAACCAAGACATCATAAGCACACTGCCCTCATTTGTTTTATCAATTAGACAAATTCAATGAACAACATCAATATTCATGAGTAACATCCTAATACGGAAGTATTGCTGGCGCCATATTAGTATCTGAAAAAAAACCCAACTGGAAATAGTTCAATATATCTTGCTCTGACTTTTTCCATCGGCCTAAAGGTAGGTATCCACCTGTTGCAATGTTTCAGTGGGAGCGTACCCTGATACATGTCTCGATGTCATTGAAAAAATTTGGATGATTCACGAATGGAGCGAATCTAAATGTTGTACAAGCCGACGAAGATTATAGTAACGCACGATTTATTGTGGATAAGTTATAAATCCTATTGAAGCGTCAGATATAAAAACAAAATAGTCTATTGTGCTGTATATTGTCAAGTATTGTATTGACATAGTGCGTACGCATGTTGATATCAAATGAGCTGAATGTAAGATTGAAGTCCAGTCTAAAAATGCCGCCAAGAAGGTTGACTCTGCACTCTCAAGCAACGATATGATCAGTTCTTAAAGAATTAAGAAATTAAATTCATCGTCATTCAAACAGCTATAGCATAAACCGTACTGCCTGTCGCTAATCATTTATGCAGAGATATATTCCTCTAGTTATAAGGATCGGTCTTCTATTGAATTATCACGTTTGATACATAAAAACAGAAGAAAGGAACAGCAAACGATAGACACGTCATACGACTAATCTGGAATCTGACATAGCCTAGCGATACAATACAAAATAATAAAAGCACACAGACTTGACCACGCTCAACATCTCAATGCATCTTAATCTCCTTGTAGTGAATACCATGGTTCATTACCAGGTTGATTTTTTCTTAAAAACTGTCTTATTATTCAGATAATCTTTGATAAAAGGCATGCAAGTGTGGGCAGCAACACCATCGAGGCATTGTTAGATGCGATTTTATGCAAAATAGTAGATCGTGTCAGTGTCAGTCGGTAGTGGATAGTGGTGTCTGTTGCGTGGCTCAAACGAAATAAAAAATGGCACATGTTCATGCGGATCGGTTTCCCAATCGAGTGCAACCAACCCCTCGTGCCTTTGTTAATGTAGTACAAAGGGCTCGTGAATCAGGTGACTTAAGACCTCACAGGGGAGGGCATGCCGGTGCTCCAAGACCGCACGATCAAATACAGGTCCGCACTGAAATACTTGTCGGGAGGATACTTTATAAAACAAGGTACATTTTTTTTTAATTTTTTTTTATTTTTACACACATATTTTGGTTTATCTTCCTTCTACAATCATTATCTGAAAATTAATGACTCAACTTCAAAGTCACCCTGTATAGAAAACCACTTTGTTGTATGTACGAGTATATGATATTTTTATCATTAGAAGCAACGAATACAGATTTATGTAGAAGGATCCACTCAAAAATTTGTTTGTGTACTAATTCTCATAGTATCTAGTGAGGATCAAAGCCCACTTGACATAAGTCATTTTTTTGACAGTTCTTCCATCAAATCCGTGCCGTATCGTCAGTGGTTCCTACAATTGTAGGACGCCTCTATGGCCTCCTTGATTTTCATAGTTTTCTACTTTTCCGTGTCAGCGTTCTTTGAGGTTATGTCACAAATATCTATTTGCATCAAATGGTTCATGCTTTTGATTTATATCATGTTTCATCAGCCTGAAATTTCCTACAATTCAAAAAGAAAACATAACTTCACAATAGGAGAGCGGAACAGGTGCAATCTAGAAATTTTTGAAGGAGGCCTCCTTGATTTTCATCGTATTTCCTTTCCTACAGAAAGGCTGGGATATTCCTAGATTTCTACTGACAGCGTGAGCGCTCTTATTTACGTGCACCCCCCTGGGCGGGGGTGACACCAACCCTAAAATTTCAAATGGAAAGGGGGGTCGAGTGATACCTTACTTTTAAGGTCTTTCAATTCTCTTTATAATGATGTAAAATACCTGAGCTTCAGTTTAGTAGTTTTGAAGATTTCTTGATTTAAAGCATAAAGTAGACTTTAATAGGTACATCAGATTAGTTTGTACTACTTTCAGAAGAAATTTGACTAAAAGAATTTACTTAATAATTAATTAATGCTTTTATTCACTACGCCCATGGTTTGCTTATCATTTTGTTGTTGAAAATAGCTATTGGAGCGTTTTTTTTTTGTGGCAAAACAGTTATTTCTTAAGGAAATATCTCGTACTTATTTTAAATAGGAATTTAGTACATAGTTTGCGATTGATTTGGATATGCTTACTTCTTGAATTGTAGGAAATTTCAGGCTATATAAATCAAAAGCATGAACAATTTAATGCAAATAGATATTTGTGACATAACCTCAAAATAGAGCGCATAACCTCAATTTCCATATCCACACAATTTTCATATCTTCCATCCAGAGGAAATGAAACAATCGTATTAGGCGATATATTTCTGTAAATTGGCCCATGACACTTGAGACTATGTGAAAAACAAAGAATACAGGTACCTGGTAATTCTGTATTCTCTGGTTAAAAAAGGCCCATCGAATATGCAGGTCCATCAGTCACATTGACGCAACCTTGATAATTTCGCTTAAATATTTCTGCGCCAATAACAATATACCATGATCATGCTTAAAATTCTCAGTAGCTATCTCCGCAGACATGCATTTGAAGGTGATTTGTATTATCAGCCTTAATTTTGTGGCTTTGTATTCAAAAGTATGTATATAAGGATGATGTAACAACCCCGCCTTAGAATTCCAATAGATTATAACTGACGGAAAATTAAAAAATAGATAGAGATGAATGCATTCATGCAATCATCTCTTTTATTGCATTTATTCTCAGCACAAAGATTCTTGATTGTAACGAAAATGACCATAAATCCCTGGGAAACGTCCAGCTTTACAAAGTCCCTATTTTTTTTAGGTGTAGAGGATATAATTAGATTTTCGTGGAAATCTACTGGGAAGAATTTGTCTAGTGTGCGTGGATCAACTTGGCTGTTGAACCTGTGCGTGTAATAGCTGACCAAATAGTGTAAATAAACTTGTTACTTGGAATACATTCTGCTTTATTTTGAGGCGTCAAAGGAGAATATAGGAAGCTGTGTGTTCTGTTAGCTATTTGTATTGAAACAAGAGCTCGTTATGACGTAGTGTAAAGACGTTGCATGAACGTCAAATTCATATTTATTGGATAATATTCCATGAAACATTATTGTGTGAAACTTTACATTTGTAGAATTTACTACTGAAGGGTTATAATTTTACATTAATAACGAAAAACCCTTTTTTAAAGCGAAAGCGGACCAACTGAGAGTAATTTGTTCTAAGGTATAGAAAAGGATACTAATAAGTAGTTTTGCATGAGAAAATAAGTGTGTATTGGTACTTTTTTCCGTCAAGTGCGATACAAGAAAATGGAGCTGACCGTTTTTTGCCTCTTGTTTTTTGTTACAACTGATAATTGGCTTCTATCCTCCGCATTGGTGTCCACCCTGGATCGTGTGATTTGATTGATTCAAAAAATCCATGCGTTCTGACTGGTCGCTCGACAAGGGGCTTAAGTGCATTGTTGCCGAGCTGTGCAAAAAGTCTTCGATAACTTATATCATTGATTCCCAAAGTGGTCTATATCGACCCCTAGGGGTCTATGACAACCTGCAAGGGGTCTACGTCAGCGAAAAAAAATTTGGGGGTCCATGAAATGAATATGGGGGTCCACGATAGTGGATCTCAACACATACACTGATAGTACCTATTTACTTACATCATACTATCTTATAATATCAAAACATATACATTATTTATAAAAGTACCTATGAAGTAAAAAATGTATTATATATGTTTATAAAATTGTGTAAGTTGTAGGATGTTGGTCTTCGCTTTGTGGTCGCAATACATTTTGAACTTGTAGAAACCTGAGAGTCGCAGTCTCAGAGCTTCGCTACCTTGCACTGACTTGTTCAATTCGTCACTCTATAAATATGAATGTGGGACAAATACGTTTATTCGTTTCCTGAATCTTGAAAAGGAAAGTGCTAAGAAAATATTTAAAAAATATAAACAGATAGTATATCACACAAATTATAGTGAGTCAGTGTTATTTTGTTTGAGAGTGCTGGAGAAAAGTAAGTACATTTTTTTTTATTAAATTTTAGTTTTGTACTCGTAGTTAGCAAAGATAGATAAATTACGCCAAACATGACTTTAGTTATTAGTAGTTAAATATTCAATCATGCAAAATTACACTACTCCTCAATAGTTTCTTTTTGAAAGTTTTAGCAATCGGTAATATAATTACAGTGCAATCTCCGTAATTCGAGCTAATTGTTGCAAGAAGATGTTCGAATTATGGTTTTCGGAAAAATCAAAAAATATTTTTAATATACAGCTGCTGGATTTTCTGTCTTATTTAAATAATTTAATTTTGCCCACAGATGACTGATGCCATGACCGAATCTTAAAAGAAATATAGACAGTACAGTGTTGATTATTTGAAATTTGGCTTCATTCCATCATTGCCGGACAAACAATCGCCTATGTGCCTTTTATGCAACAAAGTTTTGGGCAATGACGCTATGAAACCATCTAAACTGCAAGATCATCTGATAATATTTCAGAAGAGACCTACACTGGACAGAATGTTCGCTTCGACGTCACAAAGAAATGATGATGGTTTGCGGGCGTCTTACAATATCTCGTTACTTATAGCAAAATCCGGAAAACCGCATACTATCGGAGAGAAGTTAATTTTGCCAGCCGTTGAAGAGGTTTTAAAAACTGTTTTACACAAACCTGCATCTGATATCATTAAAAGAATTCCCTTAAGCAACAATACTGTTGAAAGACGTATTGATGAAATGAGTTCTGATATTGAAAGGTTCTTTTGTAATTATTTGCAAACGACCTATTTCTCTATACAACTGAACGAGTTAACTTTACCTGATAATGCAGCATTATTATTGGCATATGTTCGTTTTATTATGAATCAAGAAATCTACGAACAACTGCTCTTCGCAAGAACTTTGATAACCGACACTAAAGGTGAATCAATATTTCATGTTTTGAAGGATTACTTCATTGAAAAAGCAATTCCTTTATCAAATATGATATCAGTAGCTACAGATGGAGCACCTGCCATGGTTGGACGTTATCGTGGATTTATAAGCTATTTAAAACAAAATGTGTCATGGGTGTTAGCAATACATTGCGTCATCCATCGACAACATTTAGTTGCTAAAAATTTGAGTGTTAGATTGCATGAATCACTTCATTTAGTCATTGATGCAGTAAACCGAATCCGAAGCAACGCGTTGAATACGCGGTTATTTGCGCAGTTGTGTGAAGAAAATGACGAACACTTTCATCAATTACTCCTTCACACTGAAGTACGCTGGCTGTCGAAAGGCTTATGTTTGACAAGATTTTTTGCACTTTTTGAGACTATTTTAGAATTACTGGACACTAAAGATAAAATTTTAAAAGAAAATTTAATGAAGAGGAAAACAGATTTGTTTACAAAATTTAATATGGTTAATTTGCAATTACAAGGCGACAGTTTAAATTTGATTAAAACAAAGTCCATCTTATCAGCGTTTCTTGCCAGAGTTAAACTAATGAAGCAAAATATTGGACGGGGCGAATTTTCTCAGTTCCCCAATTTGTCACAGACAAGCTGCCAGGAAGACGACGTTTCAACTTACGTTCAACATTTAAATGCCGTCTATTCAGATTTTGAATCTAGGTTTGAGGATATTTTGACTATGGTAATACCACCGTGGATAAATAATTAATCCATATGGTGACATAGAAGGAACGAATGTCATAATACAAGAGGAACTGACTGAACTAAGTACAAACGAAGAACTTAAGGTTCAGTTCAAAAACGGATATCAGCAATTCTGGCTGCAAAACAACATACCCGTTACTTATCCCGTATTATGGAATATAACGAGGAAATTTTTAATTTCCTTTCCATCGTCATACCTAGTGGAAAGGGGGTTCAGCGCTGTTACCAATCTCCTAACGAAAACAAGAAACAGACTGGACATCATTAGCCGAGGAGATTTAAGATTAACCCTTACAAAATTGACGCCAAATGTTGATAATTTATTATTAAAGCATCAGGTTCGTCCTCCTCACTAAAAATATTGACTTATTGCTTATGTTATTTTATTTATAGTTTATTTTATGTTTATTGGTGTCTGACCAATAAATGCCCGCATTGAGAATAAGTGCCCGCATTGATTTTTTTAAAGAACCCCCCTTTATAGAAAATACTTTTTTTTTAAAATTGTTCTGAAAATTCAAGGATAGGTACACACTAAAATTCGTTAATTTTTTGCCTATTTTTCGATAACTTAAACGTATAAGAAGCGGAATTTAATCAAACTAACAGTGAAATTATTGTAGAACATACGTTTATGTTATAATTAATAAACGAACTCGCTTATTGTACTGTTTTAAGTAAAAAACTTTTTTTTTAATTATTTTTCACTTTTTTTTATTTTATCCCTCTTATTTTTTTTTTTCAATGCGGGCACTTATTCCCAATGAGGGTACTTATTGGTCAGACACATGTTTATTTAATGTTACGTATATTTTACATAACAGATACAAAATTTTATTTTGAGTAGTTTTAATTTAAATTCAATTAATAAATGTATAAATTAACATGTGTTTTTACTTTAAGTTTTTAACACTAAACTTCACTACAGTTAGAAATTTACAGGAAATCGATATCAGGTAAGTAGGGGGTCTACCCAACACGGAAAAACATGGCAAGGGGTCTACGACACAAAAAAGTTTGGGGAACTCTGACTTATATAATTGGAAAAGTGGCAGAAAATGTTCAATATATATCAAGTGAAATGTTCGTGATTGAGATAACCTTTCCTCTGGCAAGTCATCCGTCATCTGCGCAAGTGAGGTGGGTTTTACTCTGAAACAAAGAACTCATTCCTCCAGGACATCCTTGACAGCTGTTTTACCTGATAGTATCCAACATTTGGCACGAATTTGAGCTAGCAAGGCTTGTAATGTCCTTTGCGGATGATTAAAATTGTGAATACATGTACGTAAGATGCTGGGATGCTTCTCATTGAAACTTAATGATAATGAATTTTTAAATCTTTCTCTTGCACGCAAAATTCCGTCGTCATCAGTAACCAGATACAGCAGTGTATACAGGGTGTCCGCAAAGTTGGGGTTTTCCTTTTCAGAAACAACTACCCTTGAAATAACAAAGGTGATGTGTAGTGAAACGAGGGCGACCAAGTAAAAAATAAATAAAGGAAAAAGTACTCACTCTCCAGTTGACGAGAAGGGCTAAGTACGTCTCTGCCCGAAATCATACCGCTCCAACAGAAAATGAAATCAGCTGAAGCGCTACCGAGCAGACGCAGAAACCACATTGTTTGTCTTACACTTAATGGCACATCTTCTAACAAGGAAAGCAAAATATTGCGTAAAAAGTCTAGGTATTGCATCCCGTCCAATCGATTTGGGAGAATAAATGGTCCAATGGGCATACCGTTCACCATGCCAGCCCAAACATTCACCGAAAATGTTTGTTGAAAATGTGCCCGACGGACAGCGTGCGGATTTTCTACTGACCAAACATGAGTGTTGCGAAAGTTATTCACCCCATTACGCGTGAACGTAGATTCGTCTGTCACCAATATGCACTTCAAAAAGTCCGGATTATTGTCATGTTGATGCAACAACCACTCACAAAACCGCACTCTTGCTGTAAAATGGTCAGGTTGAAGGGCTTGTACACGTTGGACGTGAAACGGATACAGCCCCTCTTCACGCAGCGTTTGCCACATTTTAGTTTTTGATACTTGCACTTCTCTAGCCACGTCTCTAGTGCTTGTTGAGGGATTCTCGTCTACGCGATTACCTCTACATGCGTAACCGTAACCGTCGGTTGAAGGTTGCATACTGACCTGACTCACTGACCCCGACCCAGTTCTGCCGTCGGGTTGAGACCTTGTACCAATCGGTGATGTCCCGGGTCGCGGCTACAGGACGGTATTCAGATATTTTTGATGTTGCAGAGCCCTTTATCTCGGTTCCCTTAAGACATTGGTGTACATGGTACTAAGAAAAATTGTTTATGTTTGCAACATCTACACGTCGTGTAAAGGAAAACCCCAGCTTTGCAGACATGCTGTATATTAGAACACTCGAAATGATGATTCATTTGTGAATCATCGGCGAAAAAATGAACACTGCAATATTTAACAGCGGCATGTACATCTGATGTATACAGGGTGGCCAATATATAACTGACTGATTTAAATTGCCCAAAATAACAACTTCGGAGAAAATGAGACATTTTGGAGACGAAATAATATCGATGCTTACCCTCTCAGACAGATTTTGTGAAAAGCTATGAATCATATACTGAGTGACATATAAATCCGAACACACCCAGTTTAAATGGTTTTATTTTAATAAAAGTTGGTGAATGTATTTATCTTACTGTAAATAACAAGTAAAAAAATTTTCAGTCTTATCAGTTGGACATTCCGGTTTTTATACTGCTTTTTTTTAATTCACTAACGCTCTAAAAATGAATATTTCGGCCGCAGTAAAGAATCAACGTTGGCGGATTTTGGTTCTTGACATCCTTTACGATCGGTTATGATGCCTAGACTACGGAGACCTGTACGATTTCCTCAACTTAGTGAGTTTGATAGGGGCCGTATAGTGGGACTTCGGGAAGCTGGACTTTCTTTTCGGGCAATTGCAGTTAGAGTGCAAAGAAGTGTAGACACTGTGGTTAGGTGTTGTCAGGCATGGCTTCGAGAAGGCCGTACGCAAAGAGCAAGGGGCACTGGACGCCGCCGTAGAACAACAGACCGTGAAGATCGCCGCCTAAGATTATTGGCCTTAAGGGACCGTTTCTCCACTACCAGGTCCATTGCAAATGAATGGTTTGCAGAACACGGAAGACCTATTGGCATGCGAAGTGTTTACCGACGAATGAGAAGTTTTGGCTTGTTTTCATACCGGCCACACTGGGTCCTCCCTTTAACTCGAGAACACCGACGTAATCGCCTTGAGTGGTGCAGACAACGGTCACTCTGGGATCAGGAATGGAACAGTATTGTCTTTAGTGACGAGTCTCGATTTTGTTTAGGCATGCACGATGGTCGTGCCAGGGTTAGAAGGCGACGTGGTGAAAGGAGGAATCTACAGTTTTTTGTTGAAAGACATGTTCATCACACTGTTGGAGTTATGGTTTGGGGTGCTATAGCTTATGGTTCCAGGTCACCTTTAATCTTCATCAGAGGTAACATGAACGCGCAGCGTTATATCCACGAAGTTCTAGAACCCCATCTTTTACCCTATCTTGACACCCTGGCAGATCCAACTTTCCAACAAGATAATGCCCGACCACATGTTGCAAGAGTCACAACAGACTTCTTTCAACATAATGATATCACATTGTTACCATGGCCACCAAGATCTCCCGACTTATCCCCAATTGAGCACGTGTGGGATATGATGGGTAGGAGATTGCTCAATTTGCAACGTCCTCCTCAGACTGTAAAAGCACTTCGAGAGGAGTTGGTGGTTGCCTGGAATGAAATACCACAGGAGGACATTGACCACCTGATCAGAAGCATGCCTAGGCGCGTTGGAGAATGCGTAGCACATCAGGGTGCATCGACACATTATTAAAGGTCAAAGAGCTTTAAAGCAGTGCAATCATTTTGAAATTTTTATCATTTACTTATTATGCTTCATTAAGTACTTATACAAAATTTTATTAAAATAAAACCATTTAAACTGGGTGTTCGGATTTATATGTCACTTAGTATATTAACAGAGAAATGAGAAAAACGAAAAACTGAACACTTTACTACTACTAAAGTGACGATGATTTACGGTATCGAATGCCTAAGAGAAGTCTAGTAAACCTAATGATGATACCTATAGCAGATCCTAGGCTCTCACTGTATTATCGGTTAAGTCTTGTAATGCACAACCAGTACTAAGTATATCCTTTTCGAAAGCTGCATTTTTTGGAAGGCAACGTTTGATATTTTGGAATGTACAGACGCCATCTCGTTGGTTGAGTGTGTGGCGCACGTCAAGTCAAATCGGGCTTTAAAGTTCGAAAAGATAGCTGCTATTCACTCGCGCAGTGGCCGACCGCATGCTGGCTCCCATGTCAGTGCATGTCAAATGATGTTGCAAACACGGCCTTCCGGTTGTTAAGTAGACGCATCGCGAAAGACAATCATCGTTCTATCACACGAATACAAATATCTCCTGTACATCCATCTATTTCCTCTTCAATCTTAAATCCTGCTTTGCATTCTGCTCATTCTGCGGCGCTTCCTACTCTATTCCTGCTTTATGAATATATTTGAATGCAAGGTGGTGATTCATGAATGGATATTTCAGAAGAGATATACAGAGTGAGTCGGAAATTATTAGAAATTGACACGATGTTCAGAATAAGAGAGATTCATAGTTTTAGGGTGAAGCATATTTTCTCCACAACGTGTCAGTGTTTGGTGCGGATTTCGGGCTGAAGACATTATTGGACCATACTTTTTTTTAAAATATAATATAATATAATAACTGAACACAGTGAAACAACTCAATCGCTGCGTGAGACATTTCCTGGTCGCGTACTTTCCCGTTTCGGTGATCAGAATTGGCCCCTAGATCGTCTGATTTTACACCATTAGATTTCTTCTTATGGGCTTATTTAGAGTCGAAGTTCTATGTCTACGAATTGAAACGGGAAACCTACTTTAAACGTGCAAGC